TGTGTTGCCTGCATGTATGTGAGTGCACCCATGCAATGCCGCAGAGGTCAGAAGAGGGCTTCGGATTCCCCTGGAACTGGAGTTAAGGATGGTTCGTAACTGCCATGTGGGTACTGGGAATCAAACCCGGGTCATCTGCAAGAGCAGTCAGTGCTCTTAACCACTGAGCCATCTCTCCAGCCCCATGATTAACATTTTTAACATGAAAGTTCTGTGCCTGCGCCAAGTACATTTTTAACTGAGCCCATCCTTAGGGGGAGAACAGCAAGGTTTTGTGAGCCGGCTCTTACCTTCTATATTAGTTACTTCTCTGTTGCTTTGACAAAATATCCTGACAAAAGCAGCTTAAGGGACGAAGGGTTTATTTTGGCTTATACTTTGAGAACAGTCCTTCATGGTGGGGAGGACACAGCAGCAGGCAGGGAAGGGAAGGTGACAGGAGCAGGAGGCTGACTGCCCACCTCATCCTCATTCAGGAAGCAGAGCACGAACAGGAAGTAGGATTGGGCTATGAAACCTCAAGGCCCTTTCCCAGTGACTCACTTCCTTGAATTTCCACAACTTTCCTAAATGGCACCACCAGCTGGGGACCAGGTACTCTAACAAGCGAGTTTTCACATTCAAACCACAACACCTCATATCTACTCATATGCAAACAGTCCCCAGGTGGCCTGGATTCATCCAGTTCTCATTTTCTCAGTTACTAGCTCTCAAGAATAGCTAGACTGCTCACATTACAGCATCCTGAGGTGGGGCTTGGCTGGGAGTACAGCATCCTGACTTGGGGGGCTTCTGGCCAGCCTGGGTTCTACTCCAGTCTCTGTGGAAGCAGTGTGACCCTCAATAATTTAGCTCTGCATGTCATTTTGCCCCTTGGGTAAGGAACCCATGGGGGCAGCTGCTGCTTTCTAGAGTCCCTTGACTGCAGTGTAAGGAAACATGCTGTAGAAATTTCATCCACTGTGGCAGCTTTCCTGGGCTCTGGGGGGAGGGGGAAAACAACTGTAGTCCCTTGTTACCTATCTGCAAATCATGTACCTCGTGTCACTTGTATTTGAGTGTATCCTGTCTTGGGCAAGTTAGTGAACAATATACAGTGAACCTGCTTCTCACTGCCTATACTTTGACAGAAACACAGTTTTTAAACCCTCACCTAATTGAGCACCCCCAATTTTATAAACATTTCATTATTGTCATTAATTTCTTTCTAATTATTACTAACTCCTACCTGAAGTCACTGTCATGATCATCAACAATGACAGCTGGACCCAGAACACTGCTGAGGCCTTTGTACTGGGCCCATGGCAACCAACTTTCTTCCTGAGTGACATTTGCTTTTTTTGGTATTTCAGTGCTGGGGAACATAAAGTTCCAATAATACTGACTGACCTTGGAGTTGAGGGGGCTGCAAAAAGAAGATGGCCTTCCCTGAGATGGGTAAGATATCCATTCAAAATTTACCTATGGGCTTCTGGGAAACCTTAGTTGGAAGGATGAGCCAGACTCTAAATATATTTTATGGCCCAGAAAAAGCAATGTTAAGTAAAATAAATTAGGTGACGTGAAATGAGTTGAGGACTATTCTGCTTGGCCCCAGTGAGGATCCCTTCCTCTTCTGAATCAGGATACTCATGTGACCTCCCATCTATTGAGCAGACTCCAGATGGTAGATCCAAGCCCATCTATTTCTTTACCTTAGGGTTCTGAGGTAATCTCCCCCTCCCTTTTTCTCCCTCTACATGCTTAGTAGAATGGTACATTTCATGTTAAGTCAAATCTTTTCTCTCTAGGTACAAGAGAGAATCTATTACATGGTTTATAGAGGAATTCTCTCCTCTGCCTCTCAAGGCTCAGGAATCATTGTGATTGTAAGACCAGAGGGGGTAGATGACCACAAGAAAGCAGCCTTCCAGACAACTGATCAGTTACTCATGTGAACTCACAGCAATTTCATCCACTGTGGCAGCTTTCCTGGGCTCTGGAGGGAGGGGGAAAACAACTGTAGTCCTTTGTTACCTATCTGCAAATCATGCATCTCATGTCACTTGTATTTGAGTGTATCCTGTCTTGGGCAAGTTAGTGAGCAATGGTGACAGCATACAAAGTCCTATGCAAGCTCAAACCAGATAAAATCCCAGCATAGACATGGGGAAGTGGATAAGAAATCCCAACCCAACCTGAGGAACTTTTGGCAATTGATGACTGCTGGGAGGGGGAGAAATAGTGTCTTAGAGGGTTAGGACTCTTGGTGGGCCCAGTGAATAGATCCACACTGAAGGACATTGGGAACACAAATCATACTTTATAGGAATATATATGAGAGGTCATTAAATTGGGTGGGGGCGGGGGAGAGGTTGGAAGAGGATCTAAATGCCATCAAACTATATTTATTGAAATTGCAAAAATTCAATAAAAAATGCAAAAAAAAAATCCTCTGCTATATGTTCTGTTCTCATTGGAGCTTTTCTCATATGCATCTCCCTTCCTTCTTTCTTTGTTAGTAGAGCCACTAGAAAGCCTGTTCCCTATCTTCCCTCTGTCCTGCATTACAGCTAGTACAGTTCCCAGTGAGTTGTGTTGTATAAGAGCCCGTGCAAGCCCTTGGTCAAGCTGCAGAGTCAGGTAGTCACTGCACAATGTGAGACCCCGACTTGTCTAACTGCTTCTTTCTGCTTCTGTAATTTGCTTGGCTTAAGACGGCACTAACTCCATTTTGACTAGCTGTTTCAGGCATGTTGTAATCTTCAGTTACCACCCCCATCCCAGAAAGCTATAGATCAAGCAAGCCCAGGCATATAGCAGCCTTATAAGGTAAAAACAGAAACTTCTGGCCCCACAGATAACAGCCAGCACATTCCAGTGCCCTAAAGACAGCCCCTACCAATAAGAATCTTCCCGGTACTCAGGGCATAGGACCATCCAATCATTTTAAAGGATGCTTGGCTCAGGCGGGCTTCTGTAAAATTTCCATATAAAAGTGTACCCCACCCTAGTTCTGGGCTCTCAGAACGGATCCGCTACGTCGGTGAAATCTGAGGGCCCGAGCTTTAGCCCGAATAAAGGCTCTTTGCTTTTGCATACTCTCCGGACTCCTTGGTGGTCACTGGGGGTCGCAGGATCGGAGTGCAACACACAACATACTGGTCTTTTGACCCAGATCCCTCCTAGAATCAGGTGACACAGACCAGAAAGATAACCAATTTCTCTAATTCTAAACAAATATATTATTAAAAGGGATTTTGCAACTGGGCATGATGCTACAAACCTGTAATGTCAGCAACTGAAAGACTGAGATAGGATTGCTTCAAGTTCAAGGCTACCCTGGGCTACTGGTAAGTTCCAGGTTAGCCTGGGCTACAGTGTGATACTCGGTCTTCAAACAAAAAAATATGCTGTGAACTTTCTTGCTTTGTTTTGTCCTGGTTTACCATGTCTTTTCCCCTTCCTGCCTCCTCTTCCTTATCACAACATATTAATCAAAGATTTAAGCAGTTCTAGCAGCACTGTCAATCCTTTCACAAAGCAACAGTAGAGGAGCTGAGTCTGAAGTTTAGCTATGCACAACACCTTGGGAGTATGGTGATACTGTACAAATAAAAGCCCATCAGCTTGCAGTTCCTCGGGATTTTTCTTTAAGATTTAAATTTTCGTTCTGACTATTTCGCCAACTTCAGGTTTTCCCTATTTGTTTAGGTTTTTTTTTTTTACTTTTACAAAAGCTTTATTGAGCATTTCATACATGCATATAAGGTGTTTTGATCAAATCCATGCCCATTCCCTCCCCTCCAACACCTCCCATATCTCCCCATCACTATTTCTTTTTCTTTCCTTTTTTTTCTTTCATTTATTTACTTTTATGGAGCTTTTGGCTACTCTAACATTTCCCCCTCTGAAGAGGTAACCCTAAAATCTTTTAAGGATTAGATATAATCTCCAAAATTCTTTTGACATTTTTGGCCTTTGAAACAGAGTATGTTGCTAACAGGCCCAATGACATTTTGATTTTTAGCCAAGAAACTGGCTACTTTTCTTTGGGGCCTTTTTACCCTAACTGCCTAGGCAATTCCTACCTCCTACTCTTACCATGCCATTCCCTATTCCCAATAGGGAATTTGGACGTAGACCGCTCTGACTTCTTCCATGCTGAACAGGGATGTAGGGATGCAATTGGAGTACTCCTTCAGTGGGTCTATTTAAGACTCCCAAATTGCATAACTCTTATATCTAAGGGGAAAAGAAGGTCCTTGACTGGTGAATAGGAGATGTGAAGGAGAAGTAAAGGCAGGAGTAATTAGCATTACAAGTTCTAGACAGGGAACTAGAAAAAAGTCAGAACAAGGTTTTTATCTTCTAGTTTAAAACTTTCCTGTTCATCTGGTAATGCTGACTAACTAACTATTCATGATCATCAGTGGAGGGCTAACCCTGAGTGAAAACTGTTGAGTACATGGTTGAGCCTCTTCCACAACAAACCAGCGAAGGGTGGTGTAGGAGGAACTATTGGGAACACTCTCATATCAGTATTCTTAAATTTTTCATCTTGGGCTGGCCAGGGTCTGCCTGGAGAAGAATTCTGGCAGCAGCATTCTGGGTTCTGAGCTGGCCAAAGTGTTCACATATCGCTGCACTCAGTGTGGTCACTTCGTTCCCCTTTTCACTTTCATATTCACTCACAGTCAAGCACGGTGCCTCTCTGCCCAGAACCGTCTGCTTCACTACCTCTGGACATCGGGTTTCTAGCAGCAGCAGTTTTGGCCCCCAGGAGATAGCTGGCAGTGTCCGGAGACATTTTTGGTTTTTAAGACCAAAAGGGGTCAAGTACTAATAACCTGGCACCTAGAGGTCAGAGATGCTGTTAAATATTCTGAGGTGACAGGACAGTTGTCCTCTCCTCACTGCAAAGAACTGCCCTGTTGGGAACCTCAGAAGTGTCAGCGTTGAGAAAGCTGGATTGAGAAGGTGAACGTCCAGGCATCATGATGAACACCCAGCCTTGGGTGAGGATGAACAGCTGGGCAGACATCTGTCTGTTTCTCCAGAATCCTCAACTCAGCCTTCCTTACTTTAACCCCCTCTTAACCTAGACCCAGAATTCCAACCGGCTGCCAAGTTTAAAGACTGTTGCATAGACTAGATGTCTCTTCTCAGCCTTCTCTACTGCTGGCTTGAGATCCAAAGCTGTCTCTGGTCTTCTAAATGTGTCCATCTATTTTCAAGTTTCCAATTTTTTCTCTAATATTTTATTTATTGTTTTTATTTGTGTATGAATATATTGCCTGCAGTGTGTAAGTGCACCCATGTCATGTAATGCCCACTGAGTTCATAAGATAGTGTCAGATCCCCTGGAACTGGAGTTATGGACAGCTGTTAGCTGCCATGTGGGTGCTGGGAACTGAACCCGGGTCCTCAGCAAGAGCAGCCAGTGCTCTTAACCACTGAGCCATCTCTCCAGTCCCCTCAAGTTTCCTAATTTTTGTTGGTCTTGTTTCCGCACTCATTTTCCTTATCCAAATGGGCCCTCACTCTTCATCTGCAATTTTGGCAGGTTTCAAGATAAATTATTTGTCTATTTGATATGCCATATTAATCCAGAACTCAAGATTTCTATTTTTTGACGTGGAGATATGCCCATAGTATATTAAGAGAAAAGAAAGGAAGCTACACTGTTGTTTGAAAAGCATGATCCCATCTTTTCAAAAGACAAAACACAAACCTTCTGTAACTATTTCTAACTTTTTGAACAGAAAAAAATTCTGAAAGACTAAGTATAAAGTTCCAACAATAGTTATACTTGGGTGATAGATTTTACTTTTTCTCTAAGCATTTATATAGTTAATTTTAAAATAATTAGTATTGTTTCTTTTATGCATAAGTGTCAGACAACTGAAAATTAAGTCCTTTCAATGGGATATTGGAATATTGTTTAACTGACTTAGCTGAGGAAATGTATAGAGTTACATCTTTATTTCACATAGTGTTTATCAGTTACTAAAGCCCAACATCAGTGAAGTTCCATAGTGATACTTTTAGAAGGCATACAATTTTTTTCTGTCTGATAGAATCTGTAACCCCAAGGGTTGTATTGCCATATAGGATAATTAACCAATTTTAGATCTAACCTGAAAATCATAATCCAACATTCTTTCTTCACTTCTTACAAATACCCAGTTCATTCTAAGGCTCTATATTCGGACTTTCTTAGTGTGTTAATTCTCTTATCAATTAATTAAATGAATCTCTGACATATTTATATCTGCACGAGAATAACATTTCAAATGTTTTAAAATTCTACTTTGATACAAATGAGATCCTAAAGTTATTTCCAATTTGGAAATTGGAGGTGGGGCGGAATCTAATGATTACCTGAGACACAGAAAAAACAAATAAGCAACAAGCTCCAGGTTAAGTCCAATGGCCACCTCCTTCCATTGCTGCCCTACTGGGGTTCTCTGCAGTGCTTCCCTCCAACATTCCGGAGCTTCCAGGCTTACCTTTGGGCATCCCGCAATACTGAAAGATGTGAGGCGGGTGCAGAAAATGGACACTGTTTTTATAATATCGTCTGACAGCTGGGGACAGTGAGAGACATCCAAGTGTTCCAAGTGCAGTGAGGTTTTACAGAATGCCTGAAAGAGATTCCAAGGTCAAAGTTTTTTCTTTACTTTTCCTTAGCTTTTATCTGAATGCCATGTCCATCTAAAACCACCTTACCTGGGGCAGTTTAGTTAGTATACATTTGGGTCCCTGAATGCTGATGTTGCCATGAATAAAACAAAGAACAACAGAATATTACATTCAAAATCTCTTTAGTAAAGATACACACCAGATTAAACAGCTTTGTAATGTGCAAATTCCTGCTGGAAAAATCCAGTTTATCTGAGCTCACCTCTGATGACATTTGACTGATAATGACACTAGTTAACAGAGTTATAGTCAGCTAGATGAGTGGCAGAAGGGGATGTGGTGAGAGTAGATGGCAAATAGTTCAGAGATGGTAGTGGACAGAGGGCATTCTTTGAGTTTTAAATTCATTCCCATCATGCACTACCTCTGAAAACTTAAGGAGTCACTTAGGCTTATCCAAGCCTCAGTTTTCTTTTCTAATTAGGGAAAATAATACCTACTCTGCAGCATTATTTGAAATGCCAAAATGATCATCTGTCATAGATATGCTTGTGCATTTGTGTTTACTGTGTGCATGACTCACAATAGCAAGGAAATGGAGCCAGCCTAGATGGCCATCAGTAGATGAACGGGTAATGAAAATGTGGTGCATAAACAATGAAATTTTGTTGAGCTGTAAAGAAAACCAAAATTGTGAAATTTCAGGGAAATGGGTGGAGCTGGAAGTATTTTATTAATCAAGGTAACCCAGATTTAAAATAAAAAAAAATTGAATGTTCTCTCTCATTTGTGGATCCTACCTTACAATGTCTAAACATGTGTATATAAGTGGAGGTAATATTAAGAGAAGGATACAAGGAGGGGCCAGGGGTTTGGAGAGGAAGAGGTGCAGTGGAGTGGGCAGAAGAGATAGGGGGAGAATCAACAAAAAAAAAATTTTGTTTAAAAATGTCATACTGAAACCTAATACTATGTATGCTAATTGGAAACAGTTAAGAGTTCATAATTCAGTAGTTATATAAAAAACAGGGACTGGAGCGATGTCTTAGTGGTTAAGGGTGTTTGCTGCTCTTGCAGAGGACCCAGGTTCAGTTCCCAGCACTCACATGTTGGCTCACAACTGTCTGTAATTCTAGCTCCAGGGATCCAATGTCTTTTTTTTTTTTTTTTTTTTTTTTTTTTTTTTAGAGGGGTTTTTTTTTGGCCCCCTCTTGCCAAAAACCCCTCTTTTATGACAGTCTGCGCGC